GGATTAACGGTTATTTAAAGTTACAATTAGGCACTTGGTTACCGTATATGTATGCTTGTATGTAAATAAATACTGGCTGGCTTTTGTTTTACAGTTACGCTAGGCCGTTCACTTAGATTATTTGTTTATTCGCATTGACGCAAATGACAAAGAGTTGTACGAATGTTTGTATGTCTTGCAGACGAGACAAAAACAAATGTATAAATACTATCGGTATATATTTATATACATATTTACTTACATACATACATACAAATGAATAAACTAAAGAATAACTTTCAACTTGGTTGAGTGCACATACCAGCAGACAATTCTTGACCGATGCAAACTGATAATAAATTTATGTTCATTGCTGTTTCTATCTGTGTGTATGTGTTTAAAAATAAATACGATAACTGGGCGGAATGGAGATGTATATCGCGTCCTCAATTGCTCGGAAAGAAATTCAACTGATCCGAATATAAATCTTTTTTTCGTCTTTTGCTCAAGTGAATCTTTTTGCGTCGTCTATTTGTTGGTTAAATATTATTTTGTTGCAGTTGACGTTGATATGATAAATCTGTTTGAGCATTTAATATAGATTAGATATTAGTGAGCGCTCTGACGTACAAACATACTTACATACATGCATATACATTTATATATACACACATACATATATACATTTTGTATTTGCGAATGAAAGTAAACACAAATTTAGAGCATCGGCATATATACATACACATATACGTACATACATATACTTTTACATATCTATGTATGCATCTCAGAGCATTTCTGTTCTCTTTGGTCTGTGCTGGTCATGCCCTAGTTTTGCACTTGCGCTACTTTCAGTTATAACCGGGTCAATCCAGTGCAGACATTTACTTTCATCTAGCGACGTCATAATGTACATAAATATTTAATATAGCATATATATGTATACATATATGGATGTATATGCAGGTGCATGTGGGTCAATACCTCATAGCCAAAGTACCTTAAATTGAATAAGCATTAATCCAAATTCTGAATCATTTCACAAGTTCGCGAATTTTCGACTCATGCTAATTCACCACAGGCACAGCACGCTCTGTGCCTGTAAGAGAGAGGGATAGCAACAGAAAGATTGCATTTGCAGATTAAGCTAACTAAATAGGCACGCGAAACTAATTAGCTCGAGTTTGCCTAGTCCGTCATTAAAATAAATGTAAATGACGTGATTTATTCAGGATTGAGAATAGTATATCAAAGGATGAATCCTGCGTATATTTCATCATGAATCGTATTTCATTACTTCATTGCAATACTTTCTGCCTTTCTTTTCCATGAACTTGACGGACACTTTTCAGCTATGATAATGAGCAAAACAAAGAGGATAATGGATCACTAGATTGCTCAATTAAAGTAAAGCAAACCCAGTCACGCCCTAGGATGCATTTACTTTGGAAAGTGCAGCAAGTACAACAGAGAAATCGTTGCTTCGTCGACATGGTATTTAATTTAATTACTGACTTTGGTCACACTCCCCATACACATACATGTACATGGACTGTCTGCATGCGCTGTGCCCTTTTTCGGCCTAGATACATGAACTTTGATCTATTTACTAATATTGGGCAACTATTTCTGCACTTACCACAATTGCCATACACATTTGAGTATAACTTTGAGACTTTTTCGTTGTCTTTCGAGTACGAGAGTTTGGAATTTCACGCACACACTTGGACTTGCACTAACACGCACAAACACAGACACAAATGCAATTGATTTTTGGATTTTCGTTTTGGTTGCAGGCTATTTTTAGTGTCTGCTTCACTCGTATTAGAAATGTTTTATATTTATTTGAATGGGTAATTTATTGCTTGCGGGAGGCATTAACACGTCGTTTGGCTTCTTGCTGCCGTGGTCAAATATTGTAACCTCAAACTTTTTCACCAAGTCTGAATGGGACACAGACGAAACACAGCCGGAGGACAACACTTGATGTTGCGATAAATGCACCCACTCTTATTTGCAGCTCAATACACGCTCTCAATCGAATTATTGCGCAAGTAATTGCAATTTAAATTAGTTGTTTTAGAATTGGGGACAAGCGTAAACCCTCAAGCACGAATATTTTTTGTTAAAAGCAGTCAGTGTGACCGTAAGTTTTTAATGTTAAAATACCATACACTTAACAGAGACCATACTAAGCGTATTGAATTCTGTTAAATGTGGAGCATTTTAAGAAATTGTGGAGTAAAAGGCGTATTTTTTGGTACTCTTTTGCTATTTATCGATTGTTGCGAACAAGTGTGAAATTAAAACTAAACTTTACAAAGTGACAACAATCAAGAGGAATGTCAAAACGCAAAGCCGACAGCGCAGAAGGGGGAGACGAAATGGCATCCACAGCAGCAAAAACGAATGCCACAGAGCAGGAGGTAAGCCAAGTGAATTTTTAGCAATGACTGAATTATTAAATGGTATTTCCACAATTTCCGAAGAACATTTTTGTCATTGGCACCGCAGAGCCCCTCAAGGACTACATTAGACTCATCGAAACGAAAGTAACGGTCGATCAGATCGTCGACGACGCGGTGACCAAGGAGAACTTCAAGAGAATCGCAAGTGCTGCCCGCGACGTTATATGGAAACTGCTATTCAGCGACGAGTGCGGCGATGCTGAGTCACAGAAAAAGGCGAGCGAACTGCTCGAAGAACACAAAAGTGACGCAAGCTTTTATGCGCCATGGCCGTACAACGAGTGGATAGTGAAGGTGCGGGACGAGCTGTTGAAGCGGGAGCTCCTCGACTTCTGGCGGGATACGATTGTGGCCAAACAGTTGGGTCCGTGCTGGTCCCGCGACTCGGATCTGTTTGACAGTGAGGATGAGCCGCCGCTGGAGTTCTATGCCCATGCCGGCTGTGTGGCGCCCTTCGCCGCCAGCCTGAAGGCGCGCGCAGCTGAGAAGGCTGCCGCCAGCAGTGACGAGGATGGCAGCCATGAGATCGAGCGTGATTCCAATAATGCGTCTGCTCTGGCTGGCGACTTTGAGGCGCGGATCGGTGCCGAAGAGCCACTGAGCGACTATCGTAACCTGATGAAGCGTTACGTGCTGACCACCGTCATTGTGCCCGACGAGGTGCACAAGAAGAATGTTGAAAAGATAGGCCAGGCGGCCCGCTCAGCCATCTGGCAGCTACTGTTCGAGGGCACGCCTACCGCGTCGGAGTTTGAGAAGGCCGCCGAGCTGTTGCAGGAGTACAAGAGCGACGCTGGCTTCTATGGGCCCTGGGAGTACAATGAATGGATTGTGAAGCTGCGCGACGAGCTGCTCGAGCGCAAGATGCTCAGCTTCTGGGGCGACACGATCGTCAAGCTGGAGCTGGGGCCATGCTGCTCGAGGGATTCCGATTTCTTTGATTCCGACGATGCTCTTCCAGCTGAGTTCTACAACAAGGCCGGCTTCAAGGCGCCCTTTGACTCACCCTAAAAGCCTTAAACACTATTCGAATATCTTTGTGGTTACTAACTTAGTCTAGATGTTGTTTTGCAAAACAAAAAACCATTCGATAATTGTACAATTAAAGTTGAGTTGAATGTAAAAATGAAAATTGCATATTAACTGATAAATATAAATTATTATATTTTTTATGTAAACTTAAAATTATTCTAAACTCTGACAAATGAAGGGGAGTTACATTAGGAGTTGAAACTCACCCTTGTGCTCACACACAAGCATGGTGGATTTGCAGTGTTCACCTGACTGAGTTGACGCTCGCTCTAGCACACACAATATACTCAACTTGAGCACCAATTGTACTCGACACACACACATGCACGAAAAGGCACACATACATATTTGAAAAAGAAGTAGGAGCATGCGCGGGTAGTTAAGAGAAGAGTAATTAATTGCAATAGGAATGTATGCAGACAGTTGTCGTTCAGCTGATTTATCCCGCATATATTGTACATATACATATGTATATGTACAATGCATATTTAATATGCGTTTCTTTCTCTCCTGGCGGCTGGCGGTGGGTGAAAGTTGGCGCCCGTTGCGGTCTCTTGTGCAATATTCGTAATATTCCGCTGTTGGCAATAAATAAAACGTAATTTTTTTTTTGCGTAGTTTCTTTTGCCAGTTAGCCAACATAAAATATGTCTGCTATCCGATTTTCATGGCAATGGCAATGGCAGTGGCAATATATAGGAGCCATAGGAGCCGTTGGCAACGAAAGAGTGAGAGGGAGATAGAGAGAGAGAGGAGAAAGAGAAGCTGAACTGAAGCTGTTGCACCGAACACATTCGGGCAATATTTCATTTTTATTATCTCTCTGCAGAGGCATCTGCAGTAGCAGGAGCAGCAGCAGTAAAAGGCGTGGCAAGCGAAAGTATTGTGAAATGCCAAAGTGTTTGTCTGCATGCATACCCATACATACATAGATATATGATAGATAGATGAAATCCTACCTTTCCTCTATCGCTCTGTAAGCCATGTTTTTTAATTATACATTCTAATTATAGATCAGAAAAGATTTTTGTTTAAGTTAGTTGCTTAAATAATATATTGCCTGCATTCAATATTTTAATCAAATTAGAGCGTTTTAAAATGACAGTGCATGACTAGAAAATATCCTGAATATTTTTCCATTCTAGGCATAATTCACAAATCATAATCATAATCATTTTCTCAGCTCATCCTATGCAGAGGCTAAACTTGTTCTTCGTAAAGCTCCCCCCACATAGGGAAATTATTTTATAGCATTTTTTGTTTAATTATTCCTACAATAAAAGTATAAGGTATCCTTTTCAATATTTCCACATTTTATTAAGATTATATTAAAAGATTTTTATTTAAACATAAATATTCTTATTTGCTAGATCACATTAAAAATATTTGTATTTTTTTGTTTGTTTTGTAATTTTAAATAAGCTCCATATCTAGATTATAGTTCCATTTGTTTAACGATCACTTAATCCTATATATTATAGAAATATATGATCGAAATCTTAGCTTAAAAAGCGATTTGTATCCGATTTGGAAACTGGTTGCTTCGAATAATTTTATTATTATCAATATAATTAAACATAAAGAAAATTTGAAAAATTAAATTTAACTAAACGCCAAAGGAAAATAAAGAAGGAATGGAAGATAAACACACACATACATAAGGATGATAATCGAAAATAGCTTAAATATATGAATTTTGTTGCACTGACTAGAGGACATTTTTGGGGTAACATTTGAGAACTGTTAACAATGAACCAGAACCGTAAATCGTAAACCGTTAACAGCTAACCGTAAAGCGTAAAATCAAGTTAAACAATTACATAAATTCCACTTAACATATATGGGAAAACGCATCAACTTAACGAAACTTCAAATTTGCGTCCTTTGGGTTAAACATCTAAACTAACTAGATCTTATACGAATGGCTCGAATGTTGAAACAGTCTGGCAACGCTGCGCATCATCAATGCAACAGAACGACACTCTAAATTCTAGATCGTTTGATTGAGCTCCATCATGGCCATATATCTCTGGGTATTCTATTCTTCGGCATAGAGCAGGCGGGATCGTGATTTGTGCAGAGTGCGTCCACGTCTCGAGAACGAAGAGGAGGAGGATGAGTGGCCATCTGTGCCGCCAATGCCGCTGTCGCCGCCATCGCTATCGGCGCACTGCCACGACTTGGTCTTGGCCCGAAACAGACGATACTCCTCATTGTGGGCTGGCGCCAGCATCGGCACATAGGCGCAGGGCTCACAGAGATCCGTATAGCTGGCATAGAACTCCTTGTAGCCGTTGTGCAGCAGATACAGTTCCGGATAGTCGAGCGTGGGATAGTTGTGGGTGTGCTCGTTGCGATCGTTGCTGCGCAAGTAGCGCAACAGTTTCGGTCCACGCTCCGAGGAGAATTCGCAGTGGAAGACGTAGATGCGATGCTGGCCAGCGACCTGATCGCACGGTGGGAAGGCGTCCTTGATCTGGGCGCGCGTATAGAGATTGAGGGCGCCACGTATGTGACCGCCGTCGTATTCGTATGGATAGCGACAGTCAATGATCTGGTAGTGATTCTGCAGTTCGGCGAACTCGCCGCGCATTAGACGCGCCAGCGTCTCGCACGAGATGGTCTTCAGATCGCGATGCCGCACGCCGTGCAGCAGCACGGGCAGGGCACACGGCTTACTGAGATCCCCGATCAGCTCCGGCTCGTCGGCCAGGGCGTTCATGATGTCCGCATCGTTCATGGAGACGGCTTTGCGCATGCTAACGTTGCTCGTCTTAACCGGCGTCACGGCCAGAGATGAAACCTTCTGCTGCTGATCGTGGTGCTGCTGCTGCAGCTGATCCTGCTCCTCCTCCAGTTGCTGCTCGGACATGCTGAGGCAACGGCGTACGGTGCGATTGCGTTCCGTGCACACGCTGGTGCTCTTCAGCTGTCCGCTGATCAGTGCATCCAGATCGCCGGGCAGCTTGTCCGGCGGCCGCTGCTCCAGTGCCTCCAGCTCAAACATGGCCATATATTCGTCATCCAGCGAGTTGCTGGAGTCGTAGCTGGACGAGATGCTGCTGTAGCTGCGCAGTGTGCTCGACTTGGGCGTCCCGCAGCCGCCGCCATCCAGCTGAGTGTCGCGCATATTGTGCGCCAGCTCGGTGATTGGCGAGAGGTGGACGGTGCAGTTGCCGCCGGAGATCTGGCGATGCAGCATGCGCTGCAATGGCGATTCGTCGCTCGCCTTGTGCCGCTTGGCCGAGCGCTGTTCCAGACTGGCGACGCCATCGTTGGAGTGCAGTTGCTCCTCCAGCATCAGACTTAGCCGCTTGCTCGCCATGCCTCCCGATCTCGATCGCGATCTTTATGTAGCTCTCTGTCTTTCTTTTCCTCGCTGTTTTTGCTTCTTTCGCGCGTTTTTCTTCACTTTTACTTATTTATATTTATATTGCGCTGTGGCAAAAATCCCAGTCCCAATCCCGCTTTCGATCCCGATCGCGATCGCGATCGTTATTTCGTTTATTTATGATCTTTCCACAATTTTCTTTGGTATTTTGCATGCGGCTCTATTTTTTTCCGATGGTCTCAATTGGCGGCGTTCGTTTGACTTTGCGTTTTGTCTTCGATTTTCGTGCTCTCTTTGCACGAATTTCACTTATCGTTGGCGCCGTTTTCATTTTTCTCTCCTAGCTCATCCCACACGCACGCACACATACGCACCCACACATGCACATGCACATGCACACGCATACAAGCGCGCAGCGGCTTATTGGTAAACAGAGCGCGTTAGAGATGGGCGATAGTTCGATCTTCAACTTTCATTGTTTCAGTGTCAGCTGGCTATTTTCTATTGTTTTTGTTGTATATTTACGCACACATGTATGTATATATGTACATATATTTATTTTTTGTTGTAAATTCACCACGATTTGAATTGAGTCTAAATTTTAATTTGAAGTTTGAACAAAATGTGATTTTGTTTATGCTACATATACTAAAAATATAATAAATAAATCAATAAAAATAAATAATCAATAAATAAAAACAAAGTAAAACGAAAATTTCTAAAATCTTTTAATGATGCTGTGTGTTAGTACAAGTAGTTCTATATTCTTCTAGCTTCTACATGGTTATACTTATGTACGTATGTATGCATGTAGGTGTGCATTTGCGATATCGGAGCCCCGTTTATTTTGGCGTTTTCAACACAGTCGCTGTCCGTGGTGCGCCTGAATAGCAATTTACTTGCTGGCTGTTTGGCTGTCTGTCCATCTGTCTGGCTGTCAGTTTAATCGGCCACGTTTTAACCTCAGCTGTCGGCCTGGCTAAAGCGTTGCTCTTGTCGCCGTTGCCATCGCCTTCGATCTTTAGCTGGATGTCAATACCAAATTCAAGCAAAGTGCTGTCAAAAGATAATTACCGTTTCGGCTCTTGCACACACACCCGCAAATGACGCCAACGCAACAACAACAACATCAACTTTGAAAAATTGTTAACCAGTTTGGTGTTTTGTCATCTCGCTTGGTACATTTCAATAAAACCACTAAAAATGTTGATTAATTTGCAAGATTTTGTTACAGAAGTCGATTTCGAATGAGCAACTAATTCAAGAAATTGTATGCTGACTATGTGATACCCTGTATTTTGTATTTCTCCTTTGATCAGTTGAAGTATTTTTCTGGGATTTCTGTGAGCTTCTTTCATTCGCTTAACTTCAAGTTAACTTCAGTCATGATCAACTAGGTAGGTTTTAATTTTTTGGATGAGTACAACTTTTATACAGATATGTGCAACCAATCAAAAACTGAGAAAGATGTAGAATTTTCTGTTAATCTATCTACAAAGCTTTCAATTTCCAGCACTAGATTTGGCCATGCCCCAATTAAACACATGATTAGTGCCTTCCTAATTTTCAATTTGTCTTGTCTCCTCTTCAAATAAGATCAAATTGAATTATAAGTCTTGCATTTAGCTTTACGAGCTTCAGACGAAATGTTTAAACGAAACATCAACCGGAAACCAAACTAACCAAACTCAGAGTGAGAGTGATGGAATATGATTTTTGATCGGCTGATGATAGCGAAGTATAAATATGTATTAGTAAATAGTATAAATACGTAACAAGTAGTTATGTGATTTCAAATTTTTATTTAAATTATAACATTTTCACAATAATATCGTTTGTCAGATTTCATTACAAAAAGAAACTTTCAGACCTGATAAAGACAATGATAATAATAGGTATGAGTGAATGATATAAAAATGTGAGTGTAGATTGGGCTATGCTTAATGATAGATCGGGTATGAAAAAGTCCACGTTCATTTTTCCGAATATCCGAATATCCCGATAGGGATTCCCAGTTGAAGCCTGGAACATTTATTTGTCACTTTACCAAGGCAGTTTGAGCGTAAAATTTCTAGGCTTTCCCTTGGCGGATTTGGAGTAGTTGAAAAAGAAGCCTCACTCAAACACGTAAAATCTCGAATAGTAGAAACCTGTGTGCCGCTAAGACGACGGCAATGATTAGCCGAGTAGTTTAAATTGAAAGAGTCCGGGTATTCCGGTATGATACGGGACTGACTTGTCTGTGATATGGGGGCAATTGGCTCGAACAACTGGCAGCTCCTTAAGGCAACTCTATTGGCAAATGGGCCGAAGACGTGCCGCATTTGAACAGACAGACATACATAAAGATAGATGTATATACATATATATATATATTTCTCTTTAGTTTTTTTGTTGTTTGCTCAATTATTAATTTGATACGATATAATTGACATGTTGGCGATGCCAAAAGGAAGCACTAACATGAACGAGCTAAGCCGGAGCGACGCATATTAACGCCACACGTTTACTGGCCAAAGACTGGCAATGGGACGGACACTCGATCTTGCCCACGTTCCGTTCACATTCACGTTCCACAGTGGAACACATTGCTCAGCTTACGTTGCAAAAAATAACATCATAATTTGCTGTCCAATCATACAACTACTTATACTCATTTACGAAAGTGATATTGGTTTTGTCTGGCTTTTTGTCCGTCCATCTGTTCGTATGAATGCAATTTTTTTCATTATCATTAGAAGGTAAATATTAATCTATTCCAAGCTGTACCGCATTAACGCAAAACAGCCTATCCGTCTCTCTTGCTGTTCATTGTATTCTAAAACAAGGTATAATTTAGAAGATATGTATGTATATGTGTACATATAAATGTAGATTTAAATATAAAAATAATTTTTGTCAAAAAATATATAAACGCTGTTATTTTGTTATTTAACAAGGTTTTTTGTACTGGTAATTAATATTCAAAAATCAACGGTTACGAATAGGCTCTCTTCAAAATATAGTTGCATAATTTAGGGAGCTGTTATTGTGGTCGTTGGGGACACCATTTGAACAACTACATAGCTGCAGAGATGGATAGAAGAAACGGTGCGGCTGATAAACAAATCATATACATGCATATATGTATTTTTAGCCATTTGTATGAGAGTTTCGCTCTCTTCAGGGCTTTTACGTAAGCTAGATAAAACTACATGCGTGGTATGCTCTAATCATTTCTATACTCATTCACGAAAGAGAAATGAGTATATTGGTTTTATGCAAAGCCTTGCTATTAGTAGAAATTTGGAGCATAGACTCGAGCAATAAAGTGTTAACATTTTCTCAATCCGCTCACTAGAGGCTTGGCAGATTGGAAAATGCAAAGAATGCATACCCGTTGAGTTCCCAAATTTTAGTATACCAAAATTTTTTCTATCATATTAAAAAACCTTTAAAAACGGATTATTATTATTATTATATATAATTATAATTATATTTATTATAATTATAATTATTATAATTATATATTATATATTTCTATTTTGATTTTTATTTGGTGCTTTGTCTTTTGGTTCCACTGTCGCTCAGTCAGTGGCTCTGGCTTTGGCTCTGTCTCTGGCTCGGGTTGGCAGGCGTGTAAATTGTTTTTACTTAATCGTTGCAGACACAAACGCACATGTTGCTTGCAACAGTGTTTGCCGCTTGCTGCTGTCAGTTGGCAGCTGCCTCATGCAAGACTCCGCCCCGCCCCCATTTCCCCTCTCCCACTGGCTGGACGATCCTCCTCTGATAGCTCTCCGCCGTTTGGCTGGCTTTCGGTAATTGCAGTTGGGCCTCTGCTTCTGTGTTACCTGCATAGAAAATTGTTATTGGTAGCTAACTTGTTGCTGCTGTTGTTGTTTTTTGTTGTTGTATCTGTTGGCCAACTTAGTTAGTCGTTCAGACATGCAAATTTTTATGTTTGTGCTGTTGTTGTCTAATATTAGTTGTTTGTTATTTTTTATGCAAATTTTCGTGTTAGTTTTCTTGTTTTCCTTTTGACAAATTGTCTGTTAGACTTAATGATGGAGCGTACGAGTAGGCTGGTACGTTTATATGCATAATTGTCTGCCTATGCAGCGATCCACGAACAACTCTACGACTCCATCGTACACATGTTAACTCCCAGCTGAATGCCATTCGAAAGCCGAAAGTAGCGAAACGTGTTCAATGCAAATTTCATAGCATATGAATTCATTCAGCTGTCTATTACGAAATAATATTGACGGATGTCTGTATAAACTTCATGTGTCAGGTAAGGCTCAAACTGTGAACTTCTTGATCGATTCGCTTCGGTTTATGAACCAAGCTTTCATAGCTATAAATGAAACTATATTAACAAATTTTATCTTTTTGTGTACTTTTATAGCTTATTTCAATACCCTGAATGTATTGAAAATAGCCAATATAGATATAAGGGTTCTGTTAGCATGTTCCGTTAGCTTTAATCACTAGTTCATCAGCTTTGTCTCACATTTTGAATTATTCCGACCAGCGAACTAGTTCACCACCAACAGTTACTCTCTTGTATGTGTTCTTAAATTGATCATTTTCTTTTAAATACCGTTTAGATCATTAGTTTATAATATGTATTACTTGCCAAACTTTGCACATTTTAATCCAGTTCCGGATAATGAACTAGTTGCTACTGATATATATGTACAAACGTATTTTTCTCGTTCATTTGCATTAATTTTCCCTTTGCTCAAAGACTAGTTTTCTACTTTGAACTTGTTCCCCATAGTGAACTAGTTCGCTATCAAGAGCAGCTACTCATATGTGTCTTATGTATTTCCATATTCTTTTTGTTAGAATCACTAGTTTAAAAACTTCAATTCACACTGGACCTAGTTCCGACCAGTGAACTAACTCAGTTAGTTAATTTTTTAAAATTGGCATATTTTATTTTCATTAATGCACTAGTTCCAACTAGGATGAATCGGTTAATGAACTAGTATCACAACATTCACGAATCTAATTAAAGTTTCATAAACAAATCGCACAAATCGCACGAATGAATTTGTAGTTCCTTTAGCGAACTGGTTCGCCGCACAGCCTTCGCTGCACTCGCTGGTCGCTTAAGTGACTTCTTTCATTTAGAGCTGCGGCTAATTTGTATAATTTTGTAATTTTCTTCTTATGAATAATCTACAAGATGCTTCCTTTGCTCGAAATTGAAAAGAAGTGCAGGGCGAAGCGCTGCCCACTGATTAAAGGCGATCGGTTTAAGTATAATATGTGAGTGGTGCGAGTGGTGCGAGTGGTGCGAGTGGTGCGAGTGGTGCGAGTGGTGCGAGTGGAGTGAGTGGAGTGAGTGTTGCGAGCTGTGAGTGAAATAAATGGCTTCATAAAATTTTGTAACCATAATTTAGCTGAGCACACGAAACAGATGAGGAGAGTAAATTGTTTTATCAGTGGATAGTTTCTGGCCTGGCCGGGCCTGGCTTGGGCTGGGCTGGGCCTTGTTGTTGGCTCATTTGCTCTGCCTCGCTAAGGAAATGTTTCTGTAGGCACAAAGTGTGGCCATTAAGCGATACATAATAATT